CCACATGGGTGCCTGATATCCAAAGAAATCAGAATCGTATGTTGGCTCCCTGGACTGGAGTTACAGACCGTTGTGACCCTCTGGTGGGGGCTGCGAATTGAACCTGGGTCCTCTGGAAGAGCAAGTACTCTTAACCACTGAGCAAACACTAGCATGTTTAATGCTAAGCCAAGACTGAACAACACTGATCTACCTTGTCTGTTACAGTATCCTTTAGCTGATGTGGCCACTGGACATTTAATAGAACAGAGGATATATATATTATTATAAATTGCATTATCAATTATAATATAAATACTGCACTATTTCTATTACAAATTAGTATAAGTGTATTATATACATTTGATATAACTGCTAAGAAAAGACTGAGTAACCCTGATCTGGAACCACCTTGTCTGTTACTATATCTTTCAGCCGAAGTGGCCCCTGAACCTTTAAGATAACTGAGGATCTGAGCTTTTAATTCCTTTTGACTTCAATTCATATAAGCTGAGTGTCTCCTGTGGCTGCAACTGTCATATTGAACAATTCAGAAGAGAATACATACATACATACATACATACATACATACATACATACATACTACATACATACATACATACATACATACATACATACCATGAAAAGGCAACGTCATGAGAAGCACAGGAGCTAGCTTGGCACACACGAGCAGGGAACCCTTAACTATAAAGGAAACTCTGGTGGATATGGGAAGAGTTTGAGCTCAGGTCGGGCTGGAGAGACCACCCAGTTTCCATTCCTAGGCCCCACACGGTGCTCACAACCTTCTGTAGCTCAGGGGATCTGACGCCCTCTTCTGGCTTCTGTGGGCATCGCGCTCACCTTATGCACATACATGCAGGCAAAACACTTATACACAGAAAATGTATTTAATTAAAAAAAAAAGTAATGGGCTCAGGGAGAGGGTTGAGACAGCTCTACCAGCATGGGTTAGAGATGAAGAGAGAGAGAGAGAGAGAGACGCCAAAGCTGAATCATTTTCTTCTTATCAGTCAGAGACTGTCAGATTTCTTTCTATTTTTTTTTTTTTTTTAGGTTGGAGGGAAAGCACCTTAGACAGAGAATAATACTATGTAGAATTTCAGAGCTTTCCCTTTTTAAGCACTTTATCATCTTGGGTTTTCTTCGCTCTCACACTGAGGCCCTCAGATCTGTAGGGGAGGGATTCAGAATGTCACTCGGCTGTCCCTAAAAGGAGTTCAGGCTTAAGGAAAGAATTAAAAGGTGAAGGTTTGATTTTTCACAACCTTGGCCACACTTAAATGCCTAGTGTCACAGCCTCGAGAACACGTTCAGAGAATTTTTTTTTAACCCCTACATAGGTTGTGTTTTTTTAATCAGCTTGCCCATGATGTTGCATTTCATCACTCTCTTCTCATCCTCAGCGTTTGAATTAGACGTTTTCTTCCTCAGAGCTTTGTGTGACCTGAAAGTTTGGCAAATATGTCTTCTGTGTCTCCTTACAAGTCATTTTAAAAAGTGGTAGGCGGTATAAAACACAGGCAAGAGCCATGCCAGTCTCATTGACGTCCATGCCTCTCAAGGGCATCCCTGGCATCCAACCTCAGGCTAATGCTGTCACCACTCACCCTCCCACTGGGTGGGGCGGCAGTCATTCCAGACCACACTTGACTGTGGAATCTGAGATCTCCTGAGTGGTGGTCTGGCCAACAGGTCAACAGGACTGACATGAGGTCATGAGTTGGCTTTCTCTGGGGATGTTTTGTATGGGCAATTGTGAATCCTAGCCTCACTGTCATCTAGGCCATCTTGAACAGTACATAGATAGGATAGGAGAAGAGCTTTTCAAATGCTTTACTGAAAGTAAGACACACTTTCTGGGCATTCCCCTAATCGCCTGTGCTGGTGCAGCTCGTCAAAACAGGAAATGAGGTTAGCATGGAATGACTTTCTCTCAGAGAACTTATGTTGCCTCCTAAAGACCACCAGGTTCTCCCCAAAAGCTTGTGGTCCAGTTTCACTCCTTCCCTGGGCTTTCCTAGAAATGGGAGAGTGTCTGGTTTTCTGTGAGCTTTTGGAACATAGGTTCCTTTGGGAAACACTTGTTCCCAGTCTTTCGACTCCTTCCTCTCCCTCCCAGATCAGTATCTCTGAAATGTTTGCAGCTTGGTGTGAAGCTAGATCTGCATATATGCCAACCACAGCAAGACTGTGGTTAAACCAAGGGTTCTGGGAACATCTGAGGCAGAAGGGTTCACATGTGGCATGGGCTTTAGACAGCTCCTTCCAAAGCGGGACTCTTTGATCCCATGTTTTCACAGAGATGCCAGGAAGAGAAAGCAAACCGGGGGTGGGGATGGAGTGAAAACATCCATGGAAGCAATCTCGTCTCCTCCCCTGCACCATAGGGGGCATTTTAAGGCAGAAGGAGCTAGGCTGACTGCTATCAAATGGAAGCCCACTGAGTTCTTGGATGAAGTTGTCAAGAGAGGTGAAAGTCTGACAATCTTGGTGGGATCTCTTGGTTGGTTATCTTTGCTGAAGCCTCTGGCAAATGGCTCTGGTTGAACTTTCTAGAACCACATATCTTTTCTTAATACTGAAATACTTTTAAGGTCAGTTTGCCTTTTCGCAGTTGAGGCAAAGTATGGCCTTGACTCACAATGACTAAGACAGACGGTAGTCTCCGAATACTAGATCTGATTTACCTCTTGGCATCCATCTGCCCACTGTCTGGGTTCTCACTTCTGTAATCATGGGTGTGTTTCTTTTTATACTTGACTTTGGATCTCAAAAGCTAGCCTGATTTCAAGGCTAGAATGGATCTCAGATGGTCATTCTTCTTAAGGCCAGGTCTAGCTCAGAGGCCCTGGGTGTGGAGTGTCTTTGTAGACGGGTTGTGAACAGTTGACTTTCTAGCAATCATCCCGGCTACCCAGGCTCTGGCTTTTCTGGTGGCTTCCAACATTAGTTGAGTCTCTTCATAAGCCCTGGAGGCAGCACTGCTATCTTCATTTAGGTTAACGAAAATGAGTTTTCGCAAGAATCAGTTCACCTCCTGTCACAAAGCTGGCGCATGATGGCCGTACCTTGGCTTGAAATCTAAAGTATCTGGGCTCAGTGTAGCTCTCTGCCATGCAGCCCTTCAAAAGCCCTGTGCATGGTCAACGCCCTGGAGATGTACTGCAAGTTCAATGACCTGTGCAGTTCTAGGCTCTGCTTGCTGTAGCCCTCTGCCTGAGTCAAAATGGTAGAGGCCCCAGCTTTGAGCACTGGCACCAGAATCAATCATTTCCACTGGCTCCCAGGGGACTTCAAGAGGGCAAAGTTCATGTCTGCTCTTGACTGTCAGTGCTGAGTCAATCAGTGATTCTGCAGGGTTCTAGGCTGAGTGGTGGAGTGGCCAGTCAGACAGAGGCTCCTGGGCTGAAGTCAGGCCTCTGCTGCTCAGCTGATTAGGTTGGGAAAAACTGGGAGAATCAGTGACAATACAGAGATAGGGATGGAGTGATAAATTATGAAAAAAGTTCCACACAAGTCACTGTTGTCTGAGGAGGGCAAACAAAAAACAAACCATCAGCAGTAACCACTGCTGTCATCCCTACATACCAACCACTATCTTGCCATTTTGGTCTTCTAGGCCTTTCTAGATGTTTGCAGTCCCCAACTTGATCAGGATGGCTTGCTGCTCATACCTATTAGAAATGACTATTCCTCAATTAGTCACTGCCCAGCCATTCATGCTAGAGAGGTTCTGGTCTGAGCAGGGCTAACCTGCTGCTATGCAAACCTTTCCTTAGGCTAGCTCAGGCTTCCCCAAGCTGGTTTCTTATTTCACCTACCAATTACTTTGCAAACAATAGCCCCTTAACACCACATTGTCCTTTTAAAAGGGAGCAGGCTACCCAGAAACTTACCTGCTGCCTGCAGGCTTGTCTCAGAAGAAGCAGAACTGACTTTGAGGCATGAGGATAAGTGTGAGCAACTAAGTATGCACGTACGTGTACGTGTGTACGTCTGTGTGTGTGTGTGTGTGTGTGTGTGTGTGTGTGTGTGTGTATGGTCATATGAGTATTGTGCATGTGTACATGTGACATAGGTTGTCATGCATATAATATGCTGCCTGTGTGTCTGGTGCTTGAGTGTCTACAGAATAGATGTCTATGGTGTGTGTATGTGTGGGTATCTCTGTGTGATACATATCTGCAGCATGTGTATGCTTGGGTATGTTTGCACACCCATGAATGTGTGATTGGGTTCATGGGTGGATGTGAGTGTAGACATCTGTGTATCTGTGGAGTGTGTGTGTGTGTGTGTGTGTGTGTGTGTGTGTGTGTGTGTGTCTAGATATGTGACACCTGTGTAATGTGGATGCAGGTATATGAAGTTCATGTGTGTGGTATCTGTGCACTGTGTATAAATGGATATGGCTTCTGTGGTACATGGTGTCTGTGGTAGGTATGAACACATCTGGTGGATAGGTACAATACAGCTGTGTGCATGTGTGATACGAATGTGTAGTAGTGGTGCCAGATCCTTGCTTTGCAAATCCACAAACTAGAGAAGCTATTGCCTAGCAACCACATTGGCATAGGAAGATCTCTGCTAATGTGTTATCTCTGAGCAAAACAACTGACATAAATGCAGAGGCTCACCATGCTGACCACCATACACATTATTGACTTTAACTCACCAAATTGTTTACTTTGAAAAATGGATATATAGAAAATAGTAACATGTGCCAGCAGTAAACTATTCTCCTGGAGTCTAAGGACCTTAGCTGTGATGTATAACATCACAAGGAAAAAGAGAGCACCACACTCTCAGAAGAAATAGTGGCCGAGTGAGAGAACAGGCAGACTGTGTCAGGGACAAGGACAGCTCCTGCTCTACAGAACCTTTTGCTTTAATGTAAATATTCTGAAGTCTTTCTTTTCCTGAACCTTTAAGCTGGCTGGTAAATAGGGCACATACAGTAAATGGATTGTTTTCTGAGAACTAACTTTTGAGGAAATAAGAAGGGGTAAAAAGCTTTTTGCGTGTAATGCTCAGTCTCTTGCATGGCTGAAAACCTTAGTATTCTTTTCAACCTTGCTTCAGAAGGCTCTGAGTCACCAAAACAAAAAAAAAAAGGCTTAATTTTAACTTATGGAAATTAAAATGTGAAAATATATCCATTTAAAGAGAGCAAAATCTACAAAGGGTGAGGCCATCTTATCGGCAGAAAGTCTCTGATAAAACAGGACAGAACAATATACAAACAAACAAACAAAAAAGAATCCAAGCTTCAACTTTGACCTCTTTTTCAAAAAATGAGTAGGAAGAAATGAGCAATGTAGGGGCTGGTTGTGAAGAACAGTAGGTGGGAACTTCGTTTCCATTGGTTCTGGTCCTACCATCACTGTCTGTCTTCAAGCCTCTCATAAATTCTGAGATTATGACAAAAGAAAAGAGCAGACTGTCAGACCCATTTTTAGTGTCAAAGGCATCACCATTCTCTCTCTAGGCAGGAGGCTGAAGGAGATGGCTGTGTGGAGCCATTCTGTAAGATTGTTTTGTGAGAACAGTAGGGTCTACCCAAAACTAGATTCCGCCACTAGCTTCCCCTGAGAAGGCTTTATATCTGCCATGGAATTTTACTGTTCCCTGAGTATATAGTTTCTTGATTTTCTAGATTCACAGAGGTGTTGTCCAAACACAAGATCCCTAATGTGCTTTGGAATTGTTGGTAGGGGAAAGAAGCTTTTGTAACCTGAGTCAAGGTAAAGTCTCATCCTCACTGTAGCAAATGAGGGTGAGTTCAAAGGTCACCAAGATGAACCGGGGCCTCACCCCATAATACCTGTGCCCCTTCGGCTAATTCTGGCAGAATCAGTTTTTCAAAGGATGTTCCTATTGGAAGGTAAACTGAGGGTATTGTGAATACATCTTTCAAGTCTTTGATGGAGGCAGAAGAGAAAAAGGAAGCAGAAAAGACGAAATGAGTCACGCTACCTTGTTTAAAGATGGATTGAACTAAACCACAAGTGTGTTAGAAACAGGCAGATTGCCAGAGTCTGTTGCTGATGCTCAATTTCATCTCCGTCCTCCTCCCATTTTCCCCTTTCTGAACAGATGAAAGATTCAGCTAAATCCCAAGTATGTGTGTGGCATTTTTATCTGATTGACCTCCTCCTCTAAATCCTATCTTATCTCTGCTTGTAAATTATTAGCATCCTCATTCCTGCTCTCCAGGTCCAGCCAGGAGCACAAAGCATATGAGTCTGCCCTGCAGGAAAACTAGCTACTGTGAGCTCTCTGATCTTCTATGAGCACTTGGAGAATAGGTCTGGGAGGACTCTGGTTTTGCTAGCAAACTGTTCTGCACACTTCAACAACCAGGCTCCCCACATAAAGAAGGTGAGAACGGCTGCAAATGGTGGGATTTTTGTTCATTTTCCTACTTGTGTCCTTTCTTGTTGACATAGAATATTAGTCAATGCAAAATTTCTGGACACTGGTAAGCTTGAGGATGCATTTGTAAGTCCGTGTTCATAAAACGCTTTTGTAATGGCTTGCAGGGGATGAGTTTGTTTAACAAGAAGGCTCAAAATGTTACGTTAATTTGAAACAGCTGGATGATTATCTCCACTACACCAGGCAACCAGAGGGGAAGGTAGCGGGGTGGGAAATCTTCCTCCTGCCTGGCTGTAGGGATGTCTGTAAGGGGTGGAGAGATGATCTGAAAGTGTTATAGGCGTCCACACTTCCCAGCTTCACATCCAAGCATAGTGACAGGAAAGCTCCTTGTGATGTGTCTTAGAGGCATCTTTTCCAGAAAGGACCTCACTCTGAAACCTATTTACTTGGATTGACAGGTGAGGCTATTGTGGGAAAGCTTGAAACATGGGATCCCTTGTGTTTTCTGAAGTCACCAGCAATCAGTGCTCAGAACTGAAACCACAAAGGACCTGAAAGCAAAACAAGGGCATTGGAGGCTTTGCTGAGGAATTCCCTGTGTCCCTTGTGGCATGGTGAGGTGACCAATGTTCCTGATTCACCATTAGTGTGCAGGTGGCACGTTATAGAGCTGCCTGGGCCGAGCAAGTGCTGCAGGCAGAGCTGGCTCCGATAAGGAAACCGCTCCCTGTGTGGTAGGTGGCCCATCACTTTCCCCTTCAGCTGGGCTCAGAACAAGGAAGATCAAATCCAGTGTGTGCTCTACACACTGAAAATCGGGAACTTGATCGCTCTGGGCTAACGATGTGTTTTAAAAGAAGTGGGGAGGAGAGGTGTTCTTTCCCTGAAAGTTCCCATCCACTGTTGAGTAAACACCATAAATCTACGGTGGGAGACAGGCTGCCTGCACTCAGGTTACCTCCTGCTACAATTTTAGCTTCAAGTTTTAATTCCCCGAACATGAACAACATTGTATTCCAGCACAGGTCTGATTAATGAGGCAAGTTCGCCAACTTTGGGGTCAAAGGGCAACTTCCCACCCCCTTCCCCTCTTTTCCCCCTGTGGCTCAGTAACCATTTCAGCAAATCCGCCCCCCCCCACACACATCCCCTCCCATTAAATATACAAGGCAACCAACTGCACTAGAAACTATAGGCCGTGGCAGATAAACCCCTTTGTCTCTGGGTAGAACTCACTGTTGACGAAAGCAGGACCGCTCAGGTTTGCCCTGGGGAATCCAAGATGTCCAGTTGTTAGCTCCAGCAGGGGTTGTGTTCACCTTGCCATTTGCCCAGGGGTCACTGAAAGTCTGTGGAATACAGACAGACCATCTGCTTCCCGGACCACTGTCACTGGTTTATGCACAGAGACCAGAAAGTCCTGTTTGCAGGTAAAGTGACCAATGCTGCAAATTTGAAACTAGCAGAAGGTCACGCTCTCTAGATGACCCAAATTTGTACCTAAGAAAAAGGGAGATTGTCTTATTAAAATAATGTCTATACTCTAAATATGATGGTGGGTGCCTAGGATAATTTTGGAGTGGGGGTGAGCGGCTGAGTATCTATCTACACATGCTAGGCACCCTCACAAGAATTGCCATGGTGCCCCTGGGAATGGTTTTCGGGGGCTCTAGAAAAGCCCCAAGTCACTGGTGAGTTGTCATTTGCTGGCAACAGCAGCCCTTTGTGGTGGGTGGCATTGTCTCCATGTTCTCCCTGTGAGCCAGCTGACACTAATGAAATGACAGGTGTTATAATGACTAACCTCCGTTGTCAATTTGACTGAATCTGGAATCAGGTAAAACCCAAGCCTTGGGACATTCCTGTGAGGAATTTTCTTACCAGATTATTTGAGGCAGGAAGACCCACCAAATCTGGGCCTCTGGTGGCAGGCCACATAAAAGGACATGGAAGAAGAAAACTTTGCTCTTTGCCTGCCTGGGCGAACTTCCTCTGGCAAGACTATTTATCCTGTTTCTACAGCATTTCTTCACCAATATTAGATCTGACTTTTTTGGGATTCCAATACAGACTGGAGACAGTGTCTCTCCAGGACTCCACATTGGGACAGTGAGACATCCAGCCTCGTGGACTGAACCTGATTCTTGGCTTTTCCAGTGTGAAAAAGCCATTGTTGGATTACCTGGACTGCATCCTGTAAGCAATCTAATAAATCCCATATATAGTCTTTCTTTTGGAGAACCCTGAATAACAGATCCACTTGCCCATGGATCTGAGCCCTGCTCTGGTTTTGAGTTCAGTATTAATATTCAATAGACTCACATCCACTGCCTAGTACTCATTCTCACACACGTGCACACACATGAACACACACACACACACACACACACACACACACACACACACCCTCGTCTACACTTGCATCAACAATGGATGTACCCTCAGTAGAACCTGGATTGTAGAGACTTAGGATATAAATTCCCCATGCTGTCAAGGCTTTATGGAATCAAACTTTCAAGTGAGTTTTGATTTTTCAGCGAAGTTTTGTTCAAAATGGCCAGCTGGTAATTATCTTAGATGCGTAGGCCCCATGGTCTGTTACAGCTGCTCTATCCAGAGGTGATGCACAGATGAGAGCCACTGTGTTCTAATAAAATGTTATATAAAAAAGTTGGGTAAGCTAGTCATTTGGGGCAGTCGGCAATAGTTTGAGACCCCATCATTTTCATCTCAAGACATCATTGAAAGTGATACCAGCACCCTAGCATTTTAGACATAGGGTCTGTCCAACCTACCAGAAGTGAGCTTGGGGAGAGGGTCCTTGCAGTCAGGCAAAAGTGTGGGGACAGTGTTGCCACTTACCCTTCAGGTATCCCAGGGCCCCCGCAGTCTACAGAGCCCAGTGATGTGAGAGCCGTGCCAGTGCCTTATGGACCTAGTCTGCTTCCTGGTCCCACCTCTACATGGCCCTTCCATGCAGCAAAGATGTCCAGCCACCTCTTACTGCAGTGAGCAGGCCAGGTAACAGGCCGGCAGGGGACAGTTGACAGTGCAGCCCTGACTCACTTACCACCCAAGACAACCCATCCAACCTCTCTGAGCCTCACTTTCCCCTTTAGTATATGGGGGGCACTTTGGATCTTGCCCTATGGAGATGTAGAGGAGAGGAAAAGAAAGGTCTGGAAAACTCTAGCCACCAGGGAAGAGGCCTCCATGCTGAAATGCCAGGAAAGGCTTTTGCCACCTGTCCATGCCTGGGAACCAATGCCAGGCCATAGGGGAGCCTGGCTACTTAAAAGGGACCTTGGCTCACTTTGTGGTCAGCAGCCTAGCCTCTGGTTTAGGTTCTGGTACCTGAGGACCACGCTCGACTTCATTCGTATCCCTCATGCCAGGTGTGGTCCTTGGCTCTCCTGTGTAATTCAACACTCACACACAGCTTTACAAAAAGTTCCAGACTCCTCACTACTTAGAGATGGGGAAACTGAGGCACTGAATTTAAGAATGCCACACTACATGGAGGGAAGTTCTGGGATTAGAAGTACTGGGATTAGAAGCTGCCAGGTGAATGCCTGAGTTTTCCCTCCTAACCACTAGGACACAGCACATGCTAGGTCTTGATGGGTCTGTTGCTGGGCTGGACAGGGAAGGGCTCTAAGTGTGGAGGAGGCTGAGGTATGGCCAAGTTTCCTATAGGATATGCCTGTGCCTCCAGTAGCAGCTGCCCTGAGAATGACATACCCAAGTCATTGGTGCCTCTTAGACCCCTAGTTCCCCAAAGCCCCTAAACATTCAAAGGCAGATGCAGTGAGAGCCTGGGGTGACTCTGTGCAGGGGCCAGCGGAGGAGGAGAGTAGCACCAACATTGTCTAGAGATGGACACTGCACTTGGCATCATCTCCATGCCCTGGAAATGAGTGGGGTGAGTCAAGTACAAGAGTCAGGCAAAGAGCAAATGTGGTGTCCAACCCCTGAAATGGTGCTGCTGTCTCCCGGTGGAAGCTCCATTTGCCGGCTTCCCAGGCTTGGGAACAGGGGCTCTGTGCGCAGAGCTGTGCCCCTCACTGGGAAGTGAGAGCCTATCTCAGTTCCTCATTTGAGGCACGCCCAAATTCCCAAGGCAGTTAAAAGCCTCAAGTTGCTCAACTGTGTCAGGGAAAGCCTGGGCCATCGCTTCTCGAACAGTGGCTGAACGCAAACTTTGGTGACCAGAATCTGGCCTGTCTGGCCTGTCTGGCCTCCAGGCTGTTAGGAACACACTGTCTGTGTCCCACAGTCCACACCAGGAGGAAGGAGCGGTGATTCTGATGGCCAAGGGACAGCTGTTCTCCATTTGTCACTGTCAAACTCTGATGTCTTTGGGGACTAAAGCTGAAGGACAGTTTTGACTGTTGTAATCAAACAAGCTGAAGGAAGCCAAGAACACCACCACCCCCTTTATTCCGGGACTTTTTTTTTCTTGGTCAAGTGAAGCCATTTCAGTAAACAAGGGCTTGTGACCAAATGTACCTCACTCCCCTCCCCCACATCACACCCTGTCATTCAGGCTGGAATGAAATGAGCCAGCAAGAAACGTGTCACCTCTACCTAGGCTTATTTCAGCATCTTTTGAGGGACCCAAGACCCATGGCCCAGTTCTATCCTCCACCCCCAGCCTTACATACATCCTGTGACTTAAATGCCTCAGTGGCCCTAAGGAGACTTTAGTGGCTCCTATTCTAATATGAAAGCTGTCCGTCTGTGCTTCTTCCAGGGAGCTCACTCTAGATGGGTGCCCTGCCATGTTTGTTCTGACAGATGGCCTGGCCCTGTCCCAGCATGCACTGCAGCTGGATGACAGGTACCCCCTCCCATTTGTCTTATAGGATATTAACCCATCAGATTTCCAAGTGATATAGGCTGAGAGTGGGCACACTGGAGTAGATGCTGGATGAGCCCGTGGAGATGTTGGATGATCCCATGGGCTGAGAGTGGGCACACTAGGGCAGATCTGGATGGCCCCATGGCCCTGGGAGGTGGGGGGAGTCTGGCCCAGGGGATTTTAGGGTTCCAGGCTGGGGGATTTGGAGGCCATTTCCCAGCAGGACCCATGTGAACTCCTCCTGGGATTTCCCCATGGCCTAACCCACCGGGTTCCTCTAGCTTTTGCTTTTATCCTGCTGATTTCCCATGCTGCTCTTGGAAACCTGCAGTGGCACAGTGCTTGCTGTTACAGTTCAGGAGGTTGAAATAACTTGACAGCAAAAGTCAAGGTGCCTATGGGGTGCCAGAGGGTAACTTTTGTTTCCCCATTTTGTTTTCTCCAGGCTGCCAGCAGTCCTTGGCTTGGGGACCCTTCCTTCATCTTACAGAATGACTCTGAAATATTCACCTCCACCTTTTCTCCTTTGACCTCTTGTCTCCATTTTTGAAGGCCTGGGTGATAACAAAATGTGTTTAGGGACCAGAGACTGCAAGGTGCTCTCTCCAGCTCCAAGTCCCCTTTGCCATATATAGTAATAACTCCAGGTTCCCGGTCTGTTTCATTACAAAACTTTGTTTAGTGAATTCCAGGCCAGTCTGGGCTAAGAGTGAGAGCCTGTCTCAAGTAAAATAATACAACAAAATGAAATCTCATAAATTCACAGATAACTCAAGTTTTCAAAAACTTTTAAACTGTGGATCCATTTGGGAAGTGCCCTGACATCATTAGATAGAAAAAAACAAAAACAAAAACAAAAACAAAAAAAAGAAAAGAAAGAAAAAAGAAAAGCCAAGATGCATGGTGTGGCTGAAATTGGTTTTGTATTTTGTTTTTTGTTTTGTTTGAGACGGATCTGCTGTCTCTCCATCTATGTGCTGAGATTACAGGTGTGCACCATCAAGCCCAGCTGAGAAGGTGTGTTTTAGTTATGTTTATATTGCTGTCACAAAACAACACGACCAAGGCAACTTATTAGAAGGAAGGGTTACTTGGGATCACAGTTCCAGGGGGTCAGTCACTGCCACGGCGAGGAAGCATGACAGCAGTCAGGTATGAAGACTAGAGCTCACATCTTAAACCACAAGCAGGAAGCAGAGAGCAAAATGGGAGTGGTGCATTGTTCTGAAATCTCAAAGCCTGCCCCCAAGGACATATTCCCCCCCAAAGGCCACACCCTCCTGAGCCTCCCCAAACAGTCCCATCAACAGGGGCCAAGTGTTCAAATACCAGAGTGTTCATCATTCAAACCAGCACAGTATTGTTGAAACCTAATAAGACATGGGGTGTGGGCAGCTGGCTGTGTGTGTGTGTGTGTGTGTGTGTGTGTGTGTGTGTGTGTGTGTGTGTTTCTGTGTATGTCTGTATGGGGTTCCTTCTTCCAAAAGTCAGATCCCACCTTTCTATCTGCTTCAGTTGTGCCCGATGCTTCCAAATATATACTTTTTTTTTCACATTTTGTTCAGAGTTTATAAGTCTCCTAGAGAGGATTTGACCACTAGGAACCATCCCATTTACACATCATCAGAATTAGATCGTCTGTACCCATTTTCAGGTTTTGAAATTGTATTTCAAAATTGACCTCAATAAAAAATTGTTCTTATAATAGTCTCTCTATTAGTAGGCTAGAGTTCTTCAAGCCTTCCCTTGAGTAGCTAGAATTTCTCAGGACAACTATTCCAGGAAGGCAGAAACTTAGAGAATACCAGGCCTGCTACTGCCTGGCTATTTAAAGGCACCTGGGCACTCAAAGGTAATTTGGGGTGGAAGAATGGTTTTCAGATGTTTTCTGCACTTTGTGCAAATATACAACACCGTTCCCAATAACTCTAACTCAAGCCTTAAATATCATTACTTTGGGTTGGACCTGCATCCTTTTTGTTGTTGTTGTTTTTGTTTTTGTTTTGTTTTGTTGAGACACTGGTGTCCTCCTGCTCATCAGGAACACTCCTTGAAAATGAAATTTACTTTTTGATCAACTCAAACTTGCAAACTTCATTCTTTTTTCTTTTTCTAAAAATTTTACTTATTTGTTTATTTGTTTTTGCTTTTTAAGGACAGGGTTTCTCTGTGTAACAGCCTTGGTTGTCCTCTAACTCACTCTGTGTACCAGGTTGGCCTTGAACTCACAGAGATCTACCTGCATGATGGGATTAAAGGTGTGAGCCTCCAGAATGGTGGGATTAAAGGTGTGAGCCACCACTGCCTGGTGCAAAGGTCATTCTTACTGATAAGT